TATCTTGGGGTAACTCTAACCAAACAGGTGAAAGACCTGTATAACAAGAACTTTGAGTCTTTAAAGAAAGAAATTAAAGACGATACCAGAAAATGGAAAGATCTCCCATGCTCCTGGATAGGCAGGATCAACATAATAAAAATGTCAGTCTTACCAAAAGCAATCTACAGATTCAATGCAATCCCTATCAAAATACGAGCACAACTTTTCACTGACCTCGAAAGGACAATCCTCAACTTTATATGGAAAAACAAAAGACCCAGGATAACCAAGGCAACCCTGTACAATAAAGGAACTTCCAGAGGCATCACCATCCCTGACTTCAAGCTCTATTATAGAGCTATAGTCCTGAAAACAGCTTAGTATTGGCACAAAAACAGACAGGTAGACCAATGGAATCAAATTGAAAACCCTGATATAAACCCACACACCCATGAACACCTGATCTTTGACAAAGAAGCTAAAACTATACTATGTAAAAAAGAAAGTATCTTCAACAAATGGTGCTGGCGTAACTGGATGCTGGCATGTAAAAGACAACATCTATATCTATCACATGCACAAAACTTAAGTCCAAATAGATCAAAGACCTCAACATAAATCCAGCCACACTGATTCTCTTAGAAGAGAAAGTGGGAAGTACCCTTGAATGAATTGGTACAAGAGACTGCTTCCTGAAACTAACACCAGTAGCACAGACACTGAGATCGAAAATTAATAAATGGGACCTCTTGAAATTGAGAACCTTCTGCAGGGCAAAAGACACAGTCAACAAGACACAGCCCACAGAATGGGAAAAGATATCCACAAAACCTACATCTAACAGAAGGCTGATATCCAAAATTTACAAAGAACTCAAGAAGCAAGTCTCCAGAACACCAACGGATCCAATTAAAAAATGGGGTACAGAACTAAATAGAGAATTCTCAATAGAGGAGTCAAAAATGGCCAAGAGACACTTGAGAAAGTTCTCGACATCCTTATCCATCAGGGAAATGCAAATCAAAACAACTCTGAGATACCATTTCACTCCCGTTAGAAAGGCTAAAATCAAAAACACTAATGACAATTTATGCTGGAGAGGATGTGGAGAAAGGGGGACACTCCTCCATTGCTGGTGGGAATGCCAACTTGTGCAGCCACTTTGGAGATCAGTATGGAGATTTCTCAGGAAAATGGCAATCAGTCTACCACAAGATGCAGCAATTCCACTCTTAGGCATGTACCCAAAAGATGTACCCTCATACAATAAGGACATCTGCTCAACTGTGTTCATAGCAGTATTATTTGTAATAGCCAGAACCTGGAAACAACCTAGATGCCCCTCAACTGAAGAGTGGATAGGGAAAATGTGGTACATTTATACAGTGGAATACTACTCAGCAGAAAAAAAATGGAATCTTGAAATTTGCAGGCAAATGGATGATGCTAGAAGAAACCATCCTGAGTGAGGTAACCCAGTCACAAAAAGACAAAAAAGGTATGTACTCACTCATATAAGGATTTTAGACATGGAGCAGGGCATTACCAGCCTACAATCCCACCACCAGAGAGTCTGGGGTGCAGGGAGGACCCTAAGAGACATATGCATTTGTAACCCGAATAAGAGTTATGGGACGAGATCTCCTAATTGGATTGGGGGAAGCAGAAGAGGAGGGCAGAAGGAGATGGGAGAAAGTGAGGAAGAAAAAAGGAGGGGAGAAGAGGACATGGGAGAGCAGGAAGGTTGAGCCAGGGTAAGAATAGAGGAGAGAAGGATGGGAGATACCATAATAGAGGGAGCCATTATAGGTTGGAGGAGAGATCTGGCACTAGTAAGATCTTTACAGCTCTACAAGAATGACATCAGCTGGCACTAAGCCTACCTTAAATGCCCTCCCATGATAATGAGAATGATGACTACCTTATATGCCATCCTAGAACTCTCATCCAGTGGCTGATGGAGGCAGAGGCAGACACCCACAGCTGAGAACCAAATTGAATTCCTGAAACCCAGTTGCAAATAGGAGTGATGACCAAAGGAATCAAGACCAGGCTGGCAAAATCCACAGAGGCAGCCCACCTAAACAAGGGGGAACACATGGACCCTAGACTGATGACTGAGGGGCCAGCATGGGGCTGATCCAGACATCCCTCCCACAGAACCTGGGTGACAGAGAGGAGGCCTTGGCAATCTGTGGGACCTTGGAGAGTAGAGCAGTATTTATTCTTGGCATACAGATGGACTCTGGGAACCCATACCATGTGGAGGGATGCTGTCTCACCCTGGACACATGGGGGAGGACCTAGGCCCTGCTCGGGATGATGTGACAGACTCAGAAAATCCCTCATGGAAGTAAGTCCTTGCTCTCCCTGGGGATCGGATGGGGGATGGAGTGGTGGTGAGAGATTGGGAAGATTGGGGGATGGGGGAAGAGAGGAGGGAGAAGGAACTGAGAGTGGCATGTGTAAAAAGTTAAATTTTAAAAAATATGGAAAAAATAAATACATAAACCCAAACACACACACACACATAATTAAAAATAAAATAATTCTATAAAAGGAATTTCTATTGATTTAGGTGATCTTGGACCAGATAAACTTGGGAATTAAATTTTCTTACCAGTTGTTAAAAAGAACCATCCAACTACCACAGTGCACACTGATCCATAACCTTTCAAGAGTAATTGTTTTCTTCCTAAAAGAGCTGGCTCTATCCCCCCACCTGGGGTGGGGCTCCCAAGAGAGGCCTGGGCTAACCAACTCAGCTACCACCCAGACCCACATCCAGGCTTTAGAGTTGACCCACCCCAATGTCAACCCCATCTGTGACTTGCTGGAGTGAGTGAAGGGACTGGTTCTGTGGAATCCTAGCCACAGGATCTCCATGACTCTGGGCAACAAACACCAGGATGCCTGAGAGGAGTCCTGATGAGGAACCATTATTGATGGTGTAGCAGAAGCCAGAGGCCTAGAACCAGACCAGCAACTCATTGCAACCAGACCAGCAATTCATTGGAACCAGGCAACAACTCATTGCAATGAGCATTTGCAAGTAAAGCTGTCTGAGCAAAAAGGTGTACTGTGTGACAAGCTGCAGCTCCCAAGGCCGCTGACAAATGAATATGTGTTGGGGAAGCAGGCAAATAGAGGAGTGAAGTTGGGGTTTTTTTCTCTTCTTTTCTTTTGGGAGGAGGCTACAAGGGTGGAGGGCGGATGCGGAAGGACTGAGAAATGAGCGGGTTTGGGGAGCACGATGCAAAATTTATTCCAAAGAATAAAAAAGATATGTCAAATTTTAAAAAAATTCATGCTGATCTCATGTTTTTGAAAACATCTATAAAAGACATTTCTGTTGATTTAGGTGACCTTGGACCAGATAGCCTTGGGAGTTAAATTTTCTTACCAGTTTTTTAAAAGAGCCATCTAACTTCCACAGTGCACACTGACCCATAATTTTAAATGAGTATTACCTACCCTTAGTGCAACTACCCAGTTGTAATTGTTTTCTTTCTTGACTAACACTATAATCACCAAGGCACAAGTGAGTTAAAACTTGAAGATAACTTCAGGGGCTGAACTCTAATGTGGTATTGAGAGGGACTTGACTCTCTGATGACCAGCAACTCAAAGATGATTTATAGATACTTAGGCAACAGAAGACAAACATAGCCAAGACCACAGACACATTTAAACTTAGTTTTATCTTTAAACCACACCAAGTACAGAGATAAAATGGTAATATTTTCCTTTCCCAGATGAGAAAGCAGGAGATGATTTACCTAACGTGCCTCTGGTGGCTCTCTTTTCTATCCTTTTACTAAACATATGGAAAGCTTTTACAACAACAAAACACATCTCAGGAGCAATAGCTGGTCTGTGTGGCAGAGAGTGGACTATCCTGGGTATCAAACAAAATCCACTCTCATTAGCACTGGCATTATTCCATCCTGGTTGGAGCCCAGAGACCTAAAAAGCTATATATAGATGCACAAACAGTTTATATTGTCAGTTCACCAAAATTATATAATATCAAAAAAGGAATCATTTATGGAAACTGACAAAACTATATCTTTGAAGCTTTGATGATTTGATCACACAATATTAGTTTCCCAAAATACAAAGGCATAAAAGAAAGACATATATTTTCCTAAAATATAATCATAAAATGGCTTTGTTCTTCATGTTCTTAGAGGACATTATATCATTAACTCACCATTCGTAATTTTTCAGTAATCCACTAGGTTAATATTTATTAAATATCTATTAATGTGGATATCACTATTACTTTAAACACGGTTTGTATTTCTAGTGTATAAAATGCTAGTTTACCCTGAAACTCATGAAAATTATGCTTTCCTTGTGGCAAAAGCAAAAATAGTCATAATATCACTGTGATACAAAACTAAAACCGGGAGAGAAGAATGCGGAGGGAGAAGACATGCTTGCCTCAGTTTACCAGTATTTGTTCCCAGAGTGATTAAAAACATGTTCAGTATTTATGTTTATGTTGCAAATATCATAAAAAATAAATTTTGTAAGTATTGGGTCTTGAATCCGGAAGACAGGCCCTTCCAGTACCTGTGAAATAGCTGTGTCCCCTCTGAGGTTTTGGTCATCATGAAGTTCCGACTTGGACTTAATCTTTCCCAAACTCATTCCTTTTTGTCTCGGCTGTTGATCTTGGTGGTATTAGATGTGAACAGGCTGTAATTAGTATAAGAAGGAGGATGCGTGGACCACCCCTGCTTCCTCCCTGACCATGGATCACAGACTTTGATGTAGCCCATAGCAATGCCTGCGGTGGGTAAAGACATCAAACAGGAACAACTGTATGTGTGAGGCTGCATACGCCCAGACTGGTTTGTTGCAGTTACATGCCAATTTTCTGTCTTTCTGTGGAGACAGATCTGTGTTGTTTCAGCATCCTGCCTCTTTCATTGACTGCGGTGCGTGGTTGGTACACTGAAAAAGAGTTAAGACTCCTACATTCCATCACAAACGTTTCTTGGAGACTGCTCAAGTAGATCATTGGTGGGAAGGTCTAAAGGGAGATCGTTGGTGGGAAGGTCTAAAGGGAGATCGTTGGTGGAAAGGTCTAAAGGGAGATGATCATTGGTGGGAAGGTCTAAAGGGAGATCGTTGGTGAGAAGGTCTAAAGGGAGATCGTTGGTGAGAAGGTCTAAAGGGAGATCGTTGGTGGGAAGGTCTAAAGCGAATTCCTGCACACTGTCGTCCATGCTAGTCTTCTAGCCCCGGCCTAGGACCCTCTATTTCTCTGCTTCCTGTTGTCTTTTATAATATACACAGCTTTTAAATGGTTAAAAATGAAATTTATTGTAAAAATAGAACTTTTCTCTCTAATACAAAAGCAAAATGTGTGTTTCAACAGGGAACTTCAGACATCATTTCTGAGGGCGGAGATTGTTTTAGTCATGGGGCATTCCCACTTCCCCCAAAGGCACACCACACAGACATTATATATGCATCTAACTCTAAAACTAGCCCTAAAATGACCCTAGGTCATAAGTCAGACTGAAATCACATTTTTATGAAAAAATTGTGATTTTTTCCAAAGTTAATAGAAAACTGTCACTACCAGACAGTATTACACACACTGAAGAACTCATTGACATTTATTACATGGTTTTAAATCCATATCAGAGAAAGTTCTGTTCTTCAGACTATTAAAAAAAAGCTTACTTAATCCTCAGAGGTTTTACTTTCCTTGGCTATTAAGTGAAAATCTCAAACAATTATAACTAAATATATTTAGCAACATATTTTCACTGTGCCAAAAATTATCCCTGTATGTCAGTACCTCTATAAGAATTGTTAACCCATAATCTGTTAGGGACTCAGAATCTCATCAATGAACTTTAAACTCATAATCAGACACATTTCTCTTTGAATCATTATTTTCACAATGAGGTGTTGATACACTTCTTAACTATTAAAATATCTGGGTGTGACCAGCAGATCAGACAAGTCTTATGAAGTCTATTCGGTAGCAAAGGTTGATAATGAAATAAATTTAAATTATTTCATTCAACTTCTCTCCTTTAATGTGTTTTCAGGTCTTCTAAATTAGCAAGACCAGAGTGCTGGTTTCTAAGGACTTGCTCAGCTGGTTTGCTACTTTGAGAAAGTCACCCAATCCTCATCTACTAAGGTAGGCATTCTCTACTGCTTCTTACAGTTCCTCCAGTGATGAACTACACATGGAATCTCAAAATTGTTAGTCTCATTCGGAGAAATAGTCTAAACCAATGATGTCATCCTAAGCTCCTCAGTCAAATCCTGTTTAGAAAGTCCAGGGTTCTCAGTGTTAGCCATGACTTCCTTGCTTTATGTCTTCCCTTATCCAGAAAAAAAAGTTATATTTTTTAATATTTTAGAACCTACTGTCAAACTTCAGGGGTATATTGCTTCAAAATCACATCTTCCAGTGAGATATTACAAAGCTAAGCTGAACACACTGCTCTTGAGGACAGTGGTGTGTCCCCAGTGAGGGCTGCAATGATCTCTAGCTACCTACAATGTGGATTTACTAGTTACTTCAATTGTTAGTCTCACAATTTGTTTCTTAGCCCTCAAATAATTTTGCCAGTCCTAAAACAGATGAATAAATTTAAAATATTTTCAAGGGCAGGGAGAAATCACACCATAAACAGAAAATGGCTATTGTCAGTGCCTTCAATTTTGAGAAGGTCTTAAAATACAAGTAAATGTGATTCCAGGAAGATTTTAGTGAGTCATCCATTCGTGTTTCTGAACTGTGTTTTCAGAGCAAATTCATATCAGCAGGCATTATGTGGCTGAAGGAGAAAAGCACCAACAATCCTTGGATAACAACCAATATGGGGAAGCATTCATTGGAAAGAGAAATTATTCCAGGAGCATATCATGGAAACTTATTAGCAACACCTACCTCTAGCTTTCCAAATTCTGGTTCTAACATTGACCTGGTTCTAATACTGATTCCTTGTGTTTGACAGACATTAGATCTTCCAAACCTGTCTTTACACATTTCATTTCTCTACATTTGAATTATGACACTGAAGTATTGACCTTATTTCTCTTAAGAATGCAAGCAAGCACACCTACATAGTGGCCTACTTTGACATTTCATCACAGCATCTTCTGAGGCATAGTTTTCCTTCTTCTTTTTGATACCTCTAGACCATAACAATATGTTGTCATGGAAATGAGGATCCCTGAGAGATAACAATAGATCTGGACACCAGGAGTTCTTCAGCTGTCCTAGCTACTGGAGAGGATCATTTGAGCCAGGTGGAGAGCCTGAACCAAACATGGTAAGAAATTGTCTCACATGTTGAAAGGAAAAGCAGAACTCAATTCAGATAATAAGCAATGTGCAATAATGTATAGTAAAAGTGGCATAGGCTTTGCAGTTGAATACATTAGAATAAAAACCCTGGATTTGCCTTCCTGGGTGACATTGACCAAATGTTTTAATCTGTCTTCCCCCAAAGATTCTCATATACATAGTAAGGCAATTAACTACTACTTCACAGGACTGTGGTTAGCATGGATTGTGAAAATATCAGTAAAAAATAAACATAAAAGCAAGAAACCACCTACCACAGTGACAGATATAATAAGCAGGGTCAGAAACATCTCAGTTCCCTGCAGTAACATGTCACTCACTATCAAAGTACATATATGGAAAGTCTTGACACAGCCTGAAGACCTGCCTTTCAATGTCTGCTTTGTGAGTGGTGGCAACCTCATTCCGCATTCAAACAAAAGAGGGGGAAAACATACTTGAAGAGGAAGAAGTGGGGAAGGAAAGCACAAGACTTTGTATGTAGGAGAAACTAGGCCCACTTGCAGGTAAAATTGTGGGCACAGCCTGTCTTTGTGCAACTCTACAAGGCATGTGACAAGAGTACACAGTGGATCCAGACCACTCTGGCTTTCAACCTTGAGTAGAACAACTAACTCATCAGCAGAGAGACTTCCAGACTTTTTTAAATTATGGAGCCTCTGGTCTTGTGTGGAAATGTGTGACAGTGATGGATGAACTGATACAGTAAGTATGTGTGGTATTAGCAGTATACAGTAGGCATTCAACAAGTTTTAATTATTGCCTGTATCATTTATTTGGAGAGTTACTCTTAAGTCAGCTTTGAATAGGTTCAGAGTTTCAGTGAGCCCTTTCATTCATTTTACTTATTTGTAAAAGTATGAATATTGGTAATTCTTCAGGAAGTTGCTACAGAGGACAGTCAGGCATGAAGAAAACTGTCCTCTCCTCTCACACGCTATGGGCACCATCGTGAGGCAGCATTCCTTGCGACGATTTAGAAATTTGTTCTGCTTATGAAGACATGAGCATTTTGAATGCTATGTGTCAACTGTCCTGCCAGGATTCTGACCTAGAAAGTGCAAAAAGTATTGACTTCTCCTTTTGACATCACATGCCTCTAACCGTAAAGGTTAACAAGTGCCTAGAATGCTTAGTTCTGTTTTTAAAAGTCCCTCCCTTTGTCAAATTTGTGTGTGTGCTTTGTTGTTCTTTGGAAGGGTGTTATGTTTTTCGAAAGACAGAGTTAAGACAAACTCTATTCATCCCAGGCTGACCTTGAATTCCTAAGCCTGGTTACCACACCATCATGCCTGGGTTTTATGTTTGCTTGTTCATTTTTTTTCTTTTTTGGTTTTTACGAGACAGGGTTTCTCTGTATTGTTTTGGAGGCTATCGGTTCAACCTAGCCTCGAACTCACAGAGATCCGCCTGCCTCTGCCTCCCGAGTGCTGGGATTAAAGGCGTGAGCCACCACCGCCCGGCTGCTTGTTCATTTTTTTCAATGCAGATCTGAAGATTGAAGAACAAAGCCAGGGTCAAACCCAGAATTTTGTGCACATTTTCCAAGCATGCTGCTAGCAAAGCTACAGCTCCAGGTTTCTGTTTTATTTTTTAATTTCAAGATTTCCTTTAGCCCCATGTATCTTATTTTACTTTACCACTCCCCAAACTCTGTAAAATAAGCATCATTATTCCCTTTTACTCTTGTCAGCTACTCATTCGTTTTGAACTATGAGGGAAATGGGGAGGACGTGAAATCACTGCCATTTGCCAGTGATTTTAACAGCTGTTGGACAAGTGTACTGCTTGGGAATGGACTGGGAGAGGGTACTGATAAGATCTCCTAAAGCCCCATTTTACAGAAGAAAGTTAGAAAATTCAAGTGATTCTATAATACATGTGTAGCTAAGAAAAAAATCCAGATGTTGAACTAAACAACCTGACTCCTGGGCTAGCACTCTCCCACACCACCAGTTGCCAAAGGATTCTAGAGGCCTAACTGTGCATTTAGATGTGTATATCTTGTACATTGGAAGAATGGCTTTATTTCGAATATAAATCACTCTAAAATGAGTAGTTCCCTTCGTCATCCCTTTGTAATATCAGCTGATGTTACATTATCCATTCTCTGGAAATGGGGAGGCACACACAAAAGCCATTTGCCCATGTAGTCTAAAATTGTATGCACATTGATTTTTCTTTGTCTTAAATTTTCACTCCAAACCTAAGTGCTATTTAGTAGATTGGCTTTCTTGGGATGGTTAGGTTTAGAGTACTACAAAGGAACATTTAATACTAATACGGGTCTGTCCTTATAGGTCTTGTATCCAATGGCTGCAGTTCAAATGACATTGTCAGTCATCACCTGATCTGCGGCCAGCATATGGCATCACAATGTTAGTGTAAACAACAATTCCACTTTTTTCGCCGTCTCAGATTTGGCATCACAGGTTAGCAATGACCTGTAACATCTTGGATCTTTCCCCCTTTCCTTTGTTTCTTTCTTCCTCCCTTCATTCTTTAATGATTTTTTTGTGTCTCAAATGTGGCCAGGAACATAGGCATTTTCATATTGGAATTGATCCACTCTCAGGTACATGAACTTTCTGACTAGAAATAATAAGGAATGAAGAGGGAACAGAAGAAACGTCAGGAGGAGATGCTCGGTATCAATCATAAGTAGCAATTCCTTTAAGGAGCTGAGCAATCCTGACGCCCAGATATGAAATGGGTGGAAATTCATGACCAAGGTCCCTTTAATAGACGGTTAGATGATGCAGGAGAAAGATAGGATAGGGGCAGGAGTGGCATGTGTCTATTGGAAGCAGGCTCGTACCAGTTATCTTTGCATGCTTGTTATCTTCCATTAGTCCCCTCACGATGCCCGTTGGTAACTTGCCCAGATTAAAGTTATTCAGAATGAAAATTGCCTCCCTTTTTGTCCATCCATTTAAACTGAACTGTCAGGGCTGATGGGAATATTAAACAGGAACGGACCCTTACTTCCAAGTCTGAAGACTAAATACAACCCCCAGGAGAGAAATGATTTCCACATGTTGTGCTCTGACCTCCACAGGCACACCATGCCATGCATGCCCCCCCACACAAATAAATAAGTAAATGTAAACAAATAAATAAGAGTAGCTCCATCTGGCATTTTAAACATCTTATAGTCTTTGCTGACCTTGATTATGAATTAAGAAAGAATGACAGAACATAGACCATTTGTTCTTATTTTCACTAGGTGAGCTCCTACCTCACAGATATCTGCACATTGGTCTCTTTTTTCCTCCCCAAGACTACCTGACCATGTCATTTGCATTTCCAGCTCCATGTTTAAAAGTTACAGCCCAGCACTGAGAAATAGACTCTTAAGTATTGCTGGGCCAACAGCTCATTTTCAAACCTGACCTTCAATGCAGACAGACCTGGGCAATATCTCCCCCTGCCCACATCTTTGTCAATCTATGGAGTGACTTGTTATACCTACCTCATAACATACTAAAAAGAATCAGCTCTACAAAGAATTAAGTTGATATAAGTTAAGGTGCACAATTCATAATAGATAATGGTAACTCATTGTACCATGAGTAAACAAAACTAACAAATGAAAATTTTTGTAATTCAGTTGACTATGTGTGTATATATGTGTATGTACACAAAGTGCATATATATGCATGTGTGAATTTGTGTATGTGGGCATGAGTGGGGTGTGTGGGGACTGTATGTGTATATGTGTGTGTCCTTACATGCTACCCTCGTACTAAAACAAAACAAGAAAATTCCATTCAAAGTTTTCAAAGGCTTTAGACATTCCACCCCACTCAGTAGCAATCTGCTTCATCATGCTGGCCAGGATGACACCAGTGAGTCAGGACACTGATCATGAGTAGAATTCAAGAATTCTTGGTAGTCTGGCAGGCTTGTTCCTCAAATCTAGTCAGAGAACTCATTTCCCTTTTCATAGTGACGCCAGTACCATTCCATGTCCTGGCAAGAGAACAAGATGTTCTCCCCTTTGCTCTTGGAGCCTAACATGAAGATGCAGATGTGGGAATAACTGAGTCAGATCTAATGAGAGGTCCTGGTCCCAGGAAATCTTGCCTCATTGCTCTACTGTTTTCATCAGATATTTGGTGAGCACATGCCTCTGTGACTATCAGGACTCATAATAGAGATCCCACAGGGTCCTCCCACTGTGGAGGAAGTCTTCCCAGGGCTGAAATTCCACCTCTGCAATCTTTTCAGTTTCCTTTTCTCCTTCTCTAAATGGGGAACTGATAGCTCTCCAAACTCAGCCAGGAGCTGGAGACATTGAGATCATTGGAAAGCCCTGGAATGATATTAATATCAGTTACTAATATTATGAGAGTTGAAGAGTTAGTCTCCTTTTGAATAAACAGTCCTACTGGGCGTAGTAACACATACTTGTAATCCCAGCACTAATTAGGCTGAAGCAGGAGGATTGCCTCAAATTCAAGGTTAGACTGGGTCAGAACTGGGGAGGAAACTGAGAGATAGCGTGTGGAAGTTCTAGGTTCAAATCTCAGTAATACAGTCAACCAATCAATAAGTAAATAGTAATCTACTTTCTTGCTAAATAGTAGTCTAAGTAAATATACTGCTTCAAACCAAGTTCTAACATCTCCACTATAGCTTCTTATTATAGTTTTCTCTTTTCAAACCACTCAACTGATCCTTGGAAGTACATTTTAGTTTTCTATTTTCAAAAAGATTTGAAGTCAAAAGAACATCTTTCTACAAGAGGAGGGGAGAAATATGATATTTATTTTCTGTGTATTTTTGTAGTTCTAAAATATCTCCCGGTGGCCCAGTCTCTGGTAGTTTATAAGGGCAGCACCTGCTTCAGCTGACAGATAGCAAGTAAGAAGTCACGAAGTTGGATTCCCTGTCTCTCTAGTTGTTGCCTGTTGTCGCTGAAGATTTCTTTGTCCCACCTGGTCCTGCTGCTTCAGCCCCAAA